AATAACTGACGCGGCGGGTACCGGTGGGGCTGGCCGACTCGAACAAGCGGTTGATATGTTGCTGCATGCCATCTATCACCTTGTTCACGAGTTTCACCAGCTCTACCTTCTCCTCGACACTCAGCAAGGCACTAAGGTCCACCTCCCGCTTTGGAGTGCTGGGGCGTGGCTTGCCTGGGGGCGGCATGTCGGCGGTGTCGTCGGAAGACGAATTGCGTCTTGGGGGGGCCTGATCCGAGTCCTTGGAGCGTGACTTCTTGTGCGAGGCAGCCGTGTTTCTGGAGTTGCGCGAGGGGCGGACGTCTTTGGCGTCTTTGGAGTCCTTCGTGTCTTTGTGGTCTTTCGACACCTTGGGGTCCTTGGGGCCTTTGGTGACCTCCATGATCACAGACGGGAAGGTGGAACCTGCATGCTACGCAGTTGCCTCCTGGTAAGGCTTGAAAGCAGTCAGCGTTTGTCCGGGTCAAGTCACTGCTAGTGCCGGTGCTGCGATTATGGTCAGAGGGGTCCGAGCAGGTGCGGGCGTAGGTGCAATCGCGGTCGCAGCAGTCGCAGTCGCAGTCGCAGTCGCAGCCACAGCCGCTATCTGCCATGGCCAGTTGTCATGGAGCAGAAGAGGAAGGCACGACGCGCTTTCCCCCCCACCATCGATCGCCCCTCCACCGACAGTAGTAGGCAATGGCAGTAGTACTGACTGGCTGCTTGTGCCTGCAGCGTCCGACTGCTCTAGGGCGCCTCTTTTTCAGGTCTTCCTCGGGGCCGACAAGAGGAGGAGGGGGAAGGGGAGTAGCAACCGCCAGCTCTGGCTTGTTTGCTCGTTTGTGTGCGTGTCAAGTGCTTACTTTCTGCTGTACTTGTACTACTTGGACGTCAAGGCGTAACTGATGTGGTTACCCGGCAGCGGTATGGTATTCGCAGGCAAGGAAGCGCGGCGGGGTACCAGCGACGGGTAACTGCACTGCACTGCCGGCGTTGGGGTTGAAAGAACGACGGAGGCTCGCAGCGAAAAGAAAGATTCAGAATTCAGAGTTCAAATCTGTTGTCGCGGTGCCTCACGCAGAAGGGTAAGGTAGAAGGAGAAGGAGGGGGCCGGTGTCTTTCCTCAGTGTAGGTGGCTCAGGTAGGTAGGGACTCAGGTAGGCTGGCTACCTTTCCTGTCGGCTGCTGAAGGCGTGCAAAGGTGAGCGTCACCTTCGGATGACCAGATACTCACTTAGTACTTGGGCAAGGAGCAGCACATTGGCAGGCGGGGTTTTGGTGTTGCCAAACCACTGCAGCTGAGCGACAAACGCCCGGACGAGGAAGGAGCGTGACCTGCGTTTTGCTCACTGCGCTCAGCAGCACTTTAATCTTTGAATTTCGCCTGGCCTTTGAATTCTACCGCCCAGCCAGCATCCAGATTTCAAATGCGCAGCCACAGCAACGACATTCCCATGGTCAGCTTTATTAGAGACACCGGCTGGGATTGGGTCTACCTGTTCTACAGCTCACTATCTCAGCGCGCGTCCATTGCACTGTACCTGTGGCCCATGAAGAATTACTGTGGACCTCAGGCATTCAATATATTTGATCTTGAACATTTAGACCTGATGATAGGCAGCCCTGTCTGTCGAGCCAATCCCGCCCGTTTACCCATGGCAATGGCCGCGTGAATGTTTCATTCTCTTCACCGTAACTCATTATGCTGTCAGGTTGAGGCTATATTGAGAAGAAAAAAGGGGGCCTTGTTGTCATGTGGCTTGGAAGCTTGGGTAGTATCCCGGACCTGAGGCATGACGTTGACAGCCGCCACCAGGGACGTCGTGGGGATCTGCCAGGGGGTCGGTTGGGGTCCTGCGCCAAACAAGCCATCAGGAAGCGGGCCGCCAGAATTAGTGGGGCCGATCTTCCAGATCTTTGCCCCACCTTCCATGGCTGACATGACGTGGGGTAAAGGTGAGCGGTTGGCCAAGCCGCTGAAGAAAACGCCACTTCATGTCAAGGCAGAAAGAACTCTCTTCCCTCCCAAAGCCGCAAACAACAATCAACTGCCAGTGTCAAACCTCCAACTGTCCAACTCAGACTACCTACGAATCGAAGGACTCATAGGCCTCTCAAAGAATAGCACAACTCTTTCCTATTAAACCACGGCCTCTGCGCTTTTCTCCCTGCAGAAGATTGCTACCTCGCCCTACTCAAACTCTTGATCGGGGCCCAAAGCTCTAACTTGCGCCACCATCTATCCCCAGTCTGTCGCTCGCCGGGAGGGACGCAAAGTCTCCTGCATCCCAGCATGGCAACGCGAACCCAAGGGCAAGCGCCGCAGTCGGTCGGCGGCCGTACCGAGACCCTGCCCGCCTCAACACAGCAGCAGATAGGGACACAGACACAGGCTATTTTACGACTGCGCGGCGCGCACACGTCAACTGGGAGGTCTGTCCAGTGGCGGGAAGATGTTGTGGATAATGAGGGTCTGGGTCGGAAGAAGTCCAAGGGTTAGTGTGTTCCAGCGCGCACCCAACAGCGGGCAACAGGCCTCTCGTCAGCTCCCCGGCTTGCGTTTTGGTCGTCCCCTTTTGCAACCGATGAGCTGCGATGTCGAGTAAATAGGCGCTGGGCTAACAGACCTAAAGTTTGCTGCATCTATCACCGGACAAGGGGCGTCGACGAGTCCAGCGACGAATCCTCGTCCGACTCCAGCTCGTCGGATTCCGACTCGGACCGTGAGGGCGGCAGCAATCCCAGGAGAGACAGGGGCGATGGCGCCGGCGGCGAGAAGGACAAGGACGAAAAGGCAAAGGATAGCGACGGGCACGGGCACGAAGGGCACGAATGCGATGACCATAGGCACTCTCACAGGCACGGTGGCAGCAGTCAGAGGCGCAGGAGGAGGAGGCCGAGCCCGAATGCCTATGAGAAGATGCCGAAGCCTCAAAACCAAAGCAACAAGCCGCAAAATGACAAGCCCGGCGGCGGTGGCGGCCAGGGACCGCCGGGGGCAAGTACATGAGAGCGGGCCGTCTGGCAAGAGTGCAATGGCGATTCCGGAACATTAGCGGTAGTGCATAGTATGTTTAATGTTGGGACACATCAGCGTTTGGATGACTTTGGAGCGCACGCACATTTCTTGTCTTAGTACCGTTAGTCTGACCCACCCATTCCGTCACTCTGGACTTGAGCGGGAAATGTCACGAATCAATTAATATATTAAAAGTGGGCAAGGTATCTTATATAGATATGGCGATTGAGTGTCATAACATATCACTAGCCTGTGTCCACTGCCTGTTCTCAAGAGGATCGACTAACCTCCCGACATAAACAAATGCAAGGTAACTAACTATGTATCCAAGTTTCGTCCACCTCTGTTTCCGTGTCCCCCGCCTGATCTCGCTCATCAAGAGCATGAGTATACGAGGCATTTTTTTACACTATCTCTCTCCAGATAAATAATCCAATTCCTGAATGTGTACCTAACTAGGTATAGCGGGGGAACTTGCTTTCCAAGGATTTCAAGAGGTCTTAATACCGTACGACTCTCCCCAATTGCTCTTTCGCCGAGGGAAACAATAGCTATTAGAACCCCCTATTGTAGAATCTTAGATGCCTTTCTCCCTCTCTCCATATCCTCTGTGGCTTTCGTTTTCGTCACGGCTCTACCCATCCAGGATCGTAGGGCCCTCCAAATCGACTTGTAAAAGGGCACATCGACGGTCTTATTCACCAAGAGGGCCTCGGCAGCGGGAGAGGCTGGCGACGGCAACGGCGACGGCGACGGCGACGGCGACGTCGGGAAAGCCGGCGAAGCTGCTGCTGCGGCTCTTTCCGTTACTACTATAGGAGTTTTTGCGGCGGCGGCCCCTTCTTCTGTTTGTTTACCGGGTAGTAGTAATGGTATTGCTTCTGCCGCCTCCTTTGCACACTGGCTAGCGATAGACCGTACGAGGTCCATGATGGACGCGGCCGCAGGGCGGTCCGAGATCATGCCGTCCGACAGCCCGGGGATGCCTGCCATGGCATCGAATGCTTGGGCTTTGGCTTTGATGTCGAGAAGACATGAAGCCGAGAAGATGGGCTTGGCGAGCGATAGGAACTTGGACATGGATTTAGGCGACTTGTTGAACTTCTTCGGGTTGGCTAAAACATCGTGGAGGGCGGTCCGGTGGAGGACCTCGAGAATCCCGTAATTCCCCGGGACGACTTTGTTGCGCAGGGTGCTGGACGCAGGCTCGGCGAAATATTGAGCTGCATTGGCGATCGCGTGCTTGAATTGGTCGTCTGATAGGGCCAAGTGGGAATCCATAGCTACCTATAGGGGAGAACGAAGATGTCGAGGCTTGTTGGGTAAAGGTAGGTAGGTAGTGACAAGCTATTCGGGAGACAAGCTTTATAAACTTCGTAAAGAAAGTGCGAAATAAAACCAAACCTTGCTTGTTAAGAAGTTAGAGCTGGCTTGGTTGAGCCGTTGCCGAGGCGAGCTTAGGTACTGTCCGGGTCGGATGCCAGATTTAGCTCTGGGGCTGTATCTTGTGTGTTAACGACTTTCCGGGCACAAGATACACTACCTTGGTATATGCCTGACCTCATCACTCTGCCCGGCTCATGGTGCTTTCTTCCAAACGTCCACGCCTGACCAAACCTTTCTCCCCATCCCAGCGGCTGCACTTCTAAACCCCCCTTTACACTTTCTCACCACCACTAGGTAACCCCACGACACACACACACACACACACACACACACACACACACGCGTGCGCGCGCCAAGAAGAAAGGATAAATCAAAGAAACCCCCAACAGAAACCCGCGAGAGCGGTAAAAAAAAGAGCTATACATAAAAGGAGACCGCATACCCAGTGGGGATCAAAACATACTTCTCTTCTTATGCTTCTACAGTGCAAGACTAAACTAAATCAAATCAAGTCAAAATAAAGAAACCCCTCCCTACCAAGGAGACTAACACCTCCCCTCCTAAAAAGAAAAAGAAAAAAAAAGGAAACAATAGAAACAACAAAAAAGAAATGCTCTGACAAGAGTGGGATTCGAACCCACGCCCTTTCGGACCACGGAATCATATGATGTGAATGTGACAAGGATGCCAAACCGCATCGTGAGTGAATTAAGAGATTTGAAAATTCCTTAACGTGGCGCCTTAGACCGCTCGGCCATCTTGCCTGGTGCTTGCTTGCTTGCTTGCTTACTTTGTTGGAGAGTTGGGTGGATAAGACGAGTCATGTCCTGTCCTGTCCTGGCGAGGAGAAGATTCTTTTTGCAAAAAACCGATGAGTGGACCACACAGGAAAAAGGGGGTGGGTCGTTAACAGAAAGGCAAACCAAACTCCACAGGAGGAAAACCTTGGCTGACAAGACTCTGAAAAGACTAAGATGGATTTGTATGACGAATTGGTGAATTGGTGGGTGCTATCCTTGTATTTGTTTCCATTTCAGTTCCCATCTGTCCGGTTTCCCATATTTTGCCTGTTTTTCACGATCTTGGCCCCAAGCCGTCCTGTCCTATCCTCTCAAGAACAAGAAAAAAAGACAAAAATGTCGGAGTAAAAAAATTAATGCAAGCAACAAAAATGCAAAAAAAGATCAAGGTCTACTTCTGCTGCTGTTATTGCTGCTGCTGTTATCGTACAGAACAAGAAAAACAAATATCCGCCAAACACAGTCCGTGGACAAGGCATAGGTCCATTTTTCCTATTTGCTCCCTTCTTAGAATCCTATTTCCCACAGCGGTGGGTAGATGATGAAGCTTGCCAGCCAGTAGGGGTAGTAGTCGACGAAGAGGCGGAAAATCGAGTGGGATTGGGGAAGGTTTTAGTAGTAGTTCGGGTTTAATGCGTGAGTTCGTCGCCTCCAAGGGGGTATGTATTACTGATGGGAGTATACCGCGTTTTCAGATGCTGAATTCCGGCGTCGGCGGCCCCAACATGCTCGGGACTTGCTTGCGGACGAGGCCTCTAGCTCGGCCATGCTCGGGGCGGGGAATGCCCTGGATGGCGCGAGGCTCTTTCATCAGGGACGGGTCCAGCTTCAGGGGGACCCTGGTGATGACCGATCTATAGTCCCCCGGGAACTTGGCCGACGGGAAAGGAACCGACGCCGTCCGCCAGAGGTGGTCTGAAGTATCACTGAGGTAGCTGGGGATCTTTGCGGGCCTTGCCGGCGCCACGAAGCCCGTCGACGCCCCGTGCGATGCCCGGATGGTAGAGAGGCGGGAGAGACCAGCGGAGAGCGTCGGACGCCCGCGTGCTTTCTTGGCCAGAATTATCTCGTCAAATAGACGCACAGAGGGGTCAGAAGGCAAGTGGCGCTCGCGTTCATGAATAAACTCGTTAAATGCTAGGTTATCATCGTCAGTAAACGAGATCCAGGACGAGAGGACAGGGGGCACACACCTTGAGTTTCCCTCATCATGCCTGCATATTCCTGCTGATCATAGGGCAGGCTCCTAATGAATGCGTCCATGTCAAAGGCATACAGCTGGCCGTTGGCCTTCTGGTCGCGGCTAGGCCGCCCGAGATGCTTCCTGTAGGTGTAGAGGAGACTAGCCAGACAGCGTACAAATGCGGCTCGGACACGATCCGCGTGGAAGGCCTCGGGGCAGACCAGCGAGACAGAGCCCAGACAGCGGTTGTGGGCTAGGCACGAGCAGCCGTTGCACTTGTAGAGCCCGTCGCCCTCGGACCGGTCCTCGCAGACTGTGCACGAGGACCCCGCATCATCGGTAGCCCAGTTGAAGCAGTGGCCCTCTACCCAGACTGTGCTCTCCGTGTTGCGGACTGGCTGGATCAGCATGTTAGGCATGATGGTCGAGGCCGCTATGGTAGACTGCGCATATGTTGACGGCGCATAACCGCCAAACGAGGACTGCGAGTCGATAGATATGCCCGAGATGGAAAGGTTCTGCGCGTGTCCGTTCAGGAACGGCAGGCTTGGCCGGTGGAGCGGATGGTGCTTGTCTACTCCGAACGACGAACTCCGTCTGGACTTCTCGTCAAAGTGGCCCGACCGCTTTTCGCGGAGCGTGGTGGAGAGGGCAAAGCCCGAGTCGCTGCGTGAGATGGGCGTAGTGGGCATCGGCGGGAAGTTCATCGAGATGGGCGACACAGATGACGGCGGGCTGCCCTTCCCAGACTTACCGGTGGGCGGCCGCTCGTTTCTGGTCGGGTCGATCTTGGCTTGCGAGAAGGCGTTGAAGAGAGGAGGTCGGATGCTGCTGGGCGGGTCGGGCTCTCCAAAGCTGGCCGAGTTTTGCGTGACCCACTTGCCCAGCGAGCTCGGTGCCGTGGTGGCGTTGAAGAGGGCCTCATTCTCGGCCGAGTGCGCATCGTAGGGAAATGCCTCCATTGCGTAGGGCGGGGCCCCAGTCGCAACGCCATACCGCAGCTTGTGAGGGGCCGCGACCTGGAGAAGAGCTTGGAGCTTTCGACGGTGCTGGCGCGGGAGGCTAACGGACGGCCCAGTGGCGTCTATAGTGTCCTTGTCAAGATCCACAAGCACGTAGTCGTCCTCGGGCAGCTCGATGCTCTCGTAGCGCCTCTCAACCCCGACAATGTAGGGGCACGGCGCATCCAGAGCAGAGAGGAGCCGAGCCGGGAGGATGGGTATGAAGATGCTCGCCCACTTGAGCGGGTAAAGCAGGCTGGCCAAGGCGTGACAGGCAAGATGCAGCATGCCGGCATGGGACGAGAGGAAGATGATTCGCGATTCCGACATGGCATACTCAAACAAGAGCACAATATTGTCCAGCGACAAGCACCTGAAGAGCGAGTATATGTCAATATTCCGCGAGCCAGGCAGCTCGTTGGCCGCCTCCTTGCGCGCATAAAGCCGGAGCTCGCGCACCCCGAGCTCGACCTGCGTCGTCGAGCCCAGGGGGCTGAAAGCCTCGGTGCACAGATTGACAACATAGCGCTCGAGAGGCTGCCAGCGCCCGACCTTGGGGGAGCTAGGGGGCACCCTCAAGATGGCGCCGTCCGTCATGGGCACCACGACGGCCCTGAGCCACTCCTTCCAGAAGCCCATCCTGGTAGCTTCTCTACCTAGAATCCCGTACGCCCGAGGCGTCCAGAGGCCCGTCTCGCCGGCGGTGAGGCCGTCGATCTTGGACGCAGCGCCATGCCTTAGCGGCCTTAACATTTCTGTCATCAGGCTGATCTTCTCCTCGACGGCGCTAATCTGGTCGTCGAGCATCTCGCGGGCCGACGACCCCGAGGGGATCGCCGGCAGCTTGGCGAGAAGCTGCGACAGGTGCGCCCGCTCTGCAGCCAGACGCACGCCCAGGCTGGCCGCGAGCTCCCTCTCCTCGTTGCTCATGTGGCTCTGCCGCCACTGCTCGCACTTCTTCTCAACCTGCTCGGCTATCTCCGAGTTCAACGCCGTCCAGACGATGATGGTGATGCCGTATATTTTGGAGTTGTCGTCCGAGGTCATGGTGAAGCCGTGCCACGTCGAACGCGGCCGCTCGTCAGACGACACAACCTGGATGTCGTTGGGGAAGGCAAACATGGGCACGTAGTCCGGGAACTTGCCTCTCCGGGCCAGCTCCTCCACCGAAGAATCCCGCGGCGGGTAGCGGTCGAGCAGCACGGGCTCAAACCTCTTCTTCAGGGGGTGCATATCGGGGTCCGTGTTCAGCGGTTCTGGCGGCGGTATGACTGAGTTGTAGTTGCTCAGACGCTTTGCGGTTCGGACGGAAGCTAGAACACGGGGGACACATGCACACGCGTCAGTACTCGAGGCAAATGAATACCAGTTGGGGATTGGGGGTTCCGCATACCGGCTTTCGGCGCAGTGGGTTGCTTCCTCGCACTGGTCATATCCCTAAAACTCATCTTGCGGCGGATGCTCCCACGAATGCTCCTCAGAGGGCTCCTCCTGCCACTCTGGTCGCCCTCGTCAGCCCTGAGCTTCTCAGCCCTAGGGTTGACCATGGGCGGTCTTGACTGGACCTTGGCACCGGCACTGAATGTCAGGTCGTCGAGGAAGATCTCGCGCTCGGCAGCGAATTTGAGAAGGGCCTTGTCAAAGTCAAAGTCGAGAGGGAGTCCGTCGGGCCCAATGCCTTGGCCCAAGGGGTGGCCAGGCGGTACAACGCTGCCGTTGGCGCCATTGGCACCGTTGAGGCTGTTGCTGACAATGCCACTAGAGGGAGGCACGGCCCTTATGGTCGCGCTGCTGCGGTTGCTCTTGGTATTGCCGTCGACATCTTCTAGGGAGCGGCCGTCGGCGAGCGATAGGGGGATGGAGAGTTTGGAGATGGTGGAGAGGCGGTTGGCCGAGTTCTGGCGAGAATGGCGGGCCGTGGCACGGGACGACGACACTACCGACGTGTCGACATTCTCGCTCTCACGCTCCCGCTCCCGCTCGCCCTCGCCCTCGCCCTCGCCCTCGCCCTCGCCCTCGCCCTCGCCGTCCTCGGCTATTGTGTCATCAAGCTGGGCGGTGCCGGGGCCATCGTCGTAGGCGATATTCTCTATGCCGGCGATCCAGAAGTAGTCGGCGAGCGGCGTGGAGGAATTGTCCATGACATATCAATCCGACGACGTGTCGATGCCCGCGTGGCCCGTCGTCAGTCAGGTCCCTCCCTTATCAGGCACCGTACCCTGTCTTCTGTCTTGCTCCGTTTAACTTCCACTGGGCTTCCTGACGTAGTTCCCGTGATTCCTGTCGTTGTCTTCGTTGTCGTCGTCGTCGTCGTCGTCGTCGTCAAACTGTTCCCGCCCGGCGTGCCTGTCGCCGTCTGTCTCGTCGCGGTCTCGGGCGCGTATCTTATCCTCTAGCTCGAGCCAGGATTAGCGTTTTTCGGAATTTTGAGCCGGGGCGAGCGACAAGCAGAGGAACATGTGCAGCTGGGGCACGCAGCAGGCACCGCCCAGTCGCCCAGAGGCGTACTGTATACAGTAGGTATCGATATACAATACGGTGCCGCTAACGCACACGGAAATAGATCGCTCACCTACAGGACCGACCTGACCGACCACCTCACCGATGTGGTTGGAGACGGGAAGTTGGAGAAGTTAGGGAGAGGCGGAGTGGGGTGCCCGCTGATGGTAGGCCGAACACGAAAAAGAGCCCCGGAATCCACTACAACAGCCCTATCCGCACTGAGACCTGTCGGTCCAGTGAGGTAATGTATGTACGGAATACTGTATGTATGTACCCAG